CTTGATGCTCTTGTGCTGCCCCGTGCCTTTCATGTGATTGTAATTGGGTTTTGGTGGTTGTTGGGTCATTGTTTGGTGTGTTCTTCCCTCTGGCTGGCTGACTGTTGTACAGGTACTATACTTCTTGCTCCCTGGAGCCACTAGCTCAGCCAGAGATGAGAAGCAAGGGTCTTCCTCTGACTTTCCCTTTTTGCTCCAAAGTAGCTTTTTTAAAAAAAGTAAGGTGCCTAGCTCTTCCCATTAGTGAGGTCCATGGGAGTTGTCAGTCCTGAATATAACTTTGGCCTGCCCACCCTGCCCACCTCCCACAGCCAGATCTGCTGGGGATGCAGATCTGACCCTGCCAACTCCAGGCCAGGAGGCTCCAGGCCACAGCCCAGATGGTGTCTGGCCCAAGGACACTTCCCACAGCTCCCACGTGTAGTCGCAGCCTGAAACCCTTTGTCAGGAGCAGTTACGGAAACCTGGTAGGAGCTGGTTTATAGCTGCATGCACTGATCTAATTTAATTTTCTTGATAATAGCTTTCTGGCACTGGTGAAAATGGTACCTTGGTCGGGCATCGGAGAGAAACAACGTACCACTTCTGGTTCTGGTATCAGCGCCGGGAGCCTGAGGGGTAAGGGACAGCAGCAGGAGGAAAGTATCTGCAGCCCTTTGCTCACACAGGACCCCCAGTTCCCAGGCCACTGCTCTCCACTTTGCGCAGCCTTGATCACAGCCTGGGGGCATGTGTAAAAATTTTTATTTTTTAAATATTTATTTTTTATTTATCCACCCAAATGATTGGTAGTACAATGTCAAACATCAAGCTATTTGAAGAATATCTAAATGATTTATGTAAAATTTTTCAATTTATCCAGACTATTGATTATTATATAGACATGGTTGGGTAATTGTTCATGGTAGTAGTCTAGAACTTTCATTTAGGAAGTTCTATCTTCAGTTGGTACTTTTGAGGAGAAAAGACTAACATCACTTGGATTAATAAGTGACATTATTTATAAAATCTGCATGGAGGGGGGGACAATGAAAGCTGACATACTTAAGTATAAATTGAATACCCCGGAAACACCAACATCATTAGTTTTTAAAAAAGAAAACATTGCCTAGGATCGTGCCAGGTCCGTAAACACTTCTGGAAATGTTTGTTTCCACAGCCTCACCTCAATTCCAAGAAACATTGGGAACTTTATTATTGAATGTTATCTTCCTTAAAAATCTTCCAGTTTTTCATTTATACCCTAGTTTTTATTTATAACATATAAGTGAATATAGGTCAATTACAATAGACTTATAGAAAGGACAGTATACATTTGGAAACTTTTACCTTTTATAAAGGTTATTAAGCCTGACATCCAGTGATTACTTTCAGTAATAGATTTTTTTTTTTTTTATTCTGTGAAGAACTGCATGAGGGAGATTGTCTCAGCATGTCAGCCTTTATTTGCATGGAATAAATGTGGACAAGATTGTGTAATGGTGATTTAGTGATAATGCAGTTAGGTACATTCAGTCCTGGTGAACAATCATATTCTAAAGGTATTGATGAATCAAATGATGATAGTACAAAGAGAGGTTACAAAAAGAGAATGAAGTATCTCATCATTCTTTACTTACTTAAGCCTTTTTTAAAAACACAACCCAGGGACATGCCCTAACTGGGAAATTGAACAGGCAACCTTTTGCTTTATGGGACAATGCCCAACTAACTTAGCTTTACCAGTCAGGGCATACGCCTGGGTTGCTATGGCTAGGACTTCCAAAACTGTTGAATAGGTGTGATGAGTGTAGGCATCCTTGCCTTGTTCCTAATCCTAGAGGAAAGTTTTCAGCTTTTTACTGTTAAGTGTGATGTCAGCTGTGGGCTTGTCATATATGACCTTTATTATGTTGAGGTGTGTTCCCGATATACCCATTTGTTGAGAATTTTTATCATAAGTGGATGTTTTGTCAAACATTTTTTCTGCCTCTTTTGAGAGGATCATATGAGTTTTATCTTTTATTTTGTTAATGTGGTATATCATACTGATTGATTTGCAGATATTGAACTGTCTTTTCATTCTCTAGAATAAATCTCACTTGATCATAGTGTATGATTTTTTTAATGTATTGTTGAATTCAGATTGCTAGTATTTTGTTTTGGATTTTTGCATCTATGGTTATTAGGGATATTGGCTTGAAGTGTCCTTGTCTGCTTTTGCTATTAGGGTAACTAATAATCCCTTTAAATGCATTGTCTATTTAATTATGTAGAAAACAAGATATGGAGTTACAAATCAAAGTTACAGTATCACTGGCTTTTACACTAATTAATTATGAACCTTAAATATAATAATCTCTTAAATCATGTATAAAATAAAAAGTACAGTTACAAACCACTGTTACAATAATACTAGCTTTTATATTTGCCTATATACTTACCTTTATTGAGATCTTTCTCCATAAGGCTCCAAGTTACTCTTCCATGTTCTTTCAGTTTACTGTGCAGTACTCCCTTGAGCATTTCTTGCAGGCCAGGTCTAGGGGTAACTAATTCCCTAACCTTTTGTTTATCTGGGAATATCTTACTTTGTCCCTACTTTTGAAGGACATTTTTGCCAGATTTGCGATTCTAGTTGACAAGTTTTAGTTTTTTAGCATTTTGGATATATCAATCTTCTGACATCCAAAGTTTCTGATAAGAAACATGTTGATAATCTAACTGAGGACCCCTTGTGTATGAGCTCTTGCTGCTTTCAGGACTCTGTCTTTGTATTTGTCCTTCGAAAGTTTAACTGTAGTGTGTCTCAGTGCAAGTCTCTTGAAGTCTTCTGAGCTGGTTTGATTTTTATATTCATGTCTTTCATCATGAAGTTTTCAGCCATTATTCCTTCAAATATTCTCTTTGCCTGTTTCTTTCTTCTCCTTCTGGGACTCTCATAATACGTATATTGGTCTACTTGCTAGTGCCCTGCAGGTCCATTAGGTTCTGATTTATTAATCTTTCTCCTTCCTGTTCCTCAGTCTCAATAATTTCCATTGTTCTATATTCATGTTCAGTGATTCTTTTTTCTGCCTGCTCAAATATACCTTTCAATTCTACTGAATTTTTCACTGCAATTATTGTACTTTTCATCTCCAGAATCTCTTTCATCTTCTTTTTTTGGATATTCTTTCTCTTTATTGATATTTCCATTTTGTCCACACATTATTTTCTTGACTTTCCTCATATCCCCCTTTAATTTGGGGGAGAGGCATCTTTACACAATTGTTTCAACATCTCTAGTATATCTGCCGTTGGGTCTTTTTTCAGGGACAGTTTCTGCCAATATGTACTTCTTCTTGAATAAGTCATACTTTCCTGTTACTTTGTATACTTTGTGATAACTCGAAATCAGATTCTCCTTTCCTTCTTTTACCTAGGGTTTGCTGTTTTGTGTTTTTTTAATTGATTGTTTTTGTTTTTTTTAATTGCACAGATGTCTTTATGCCGAGATCAACCTAAGGTGCAAACTTAAGGTCTTTTTAAAGCATTTCCCTGGGCATACACCAGTTACTCAATGATGTTAAGTATCATTTCATAAGATTATTGACTATCCAAGTATTGGCATTTTCTTCTATAAGTTTTTAAACTCATGTTTTTGTCTCTTTTTAAAATATTCACTTATTGTTAGTAGGGATTCTTTACATGCTGAGGTATGTCCAGAAAGTATCCAACAATGTAATAGGAAAAAGAGAGACATTTACTGAAGAAGATACAAGATACAAAAAACAATGTACATAGGACTATGAAGCCTCAGTCCCCTTCAAAGTAGGCACCTTGGGACCTCACATAGTTCTCCCAGTCGCCATCAGCTGCCCCATCATTTTCTTGAATCTTATCGATGACCTGAAATCTCTTCCTTTTCAAAGGTGATTTTAGTTTTTGGAAAAGCCATGTCACAGGGCATCATATCTGGGATGTAGGGGGTCTGAGTCACCTGGGTGATTTGATGTCTTGCCAAAAAACTGCACAAGATGTGATGCATGAGCAGGCACATTGTTGTGATGAAACTGCCAGTCACCAGTTGCCCATAGCTGTGGCCTTCTGAATTATCAAAATAGTTTCCTCAGAGGACTGTTCAAGCTTAAAACAAAATTTGAGGCGTATTTGTTGCTCTACTTGCTCAGTCATTTTGAATGCAACGGCCACACAGTACACATGCTCACTTAATGGTATCTACCATCCCCACTGACTAGTGCAGTGAAGTTCTCATTGTTTATGCATGTGCTTTCTAGTCCGCTCTCCTTGACTTCCAGGTTATATCAGTGTTGTGCAAACTGTTTTTGTTATGTTAAAAATGGTTTGCCTTTTTCCAGACAAACCTTATATTCAACTAATCTTACCGAGGAAATATTTAATCTTCTTTATTTTGTGATGTCTTCTGCATTCAGAGGTTTTTTTACACTTTTAAATAAAAATTATGGACATTTTTAGACATGCCGAAAAGAAAGCAGAATACTTTAATAAATCTTCCATATACCTATCACTCAGCTTTAACAATTATCAGTATATTTCCCAAGCAGTATTCATCTTTTCCTTTAATTTTTGTGCATTACCTAAGAAATCACTAAAGATTGTGTCACTATTATTTGTGTGGCTAAATATTTCTGTCACGATAAAATACCCATTTTTTTTGTCATGACATTTGTCCTTTATTGTTTTTATTTTTATGTAAATGTTACCTTACATGTAGCAATTCCTAACATATATAATGTGTTATTGCACCTATGTTAACCCATAACTTCTTCCTGAACAACAGGTACTTTTATTCAGCACAAGCTATTAATTCATATCTTGGAAATCAGTAGTTGTCCCAAAAATATCGTATATGTCACCATAAAGCCAGTTGAAAATCCCTATGTCCTTATAAGAAGGCTGCTCAATCATTGAGATGTCAAACTATAAACCTAAGATAGCTGTGCTGGCATTTTTGTTTTTACAGAGTAATTCCTCTCAATTTTTCCCCTTATTTTTAGTGTGCCACCTGGGCTTGAATGCATGAAAGAACAAGACCTCTGCAACAAGATAATGGCTACAATACTAGAAAAGTACAATACCCTGTTTGAAGTAGAATGCACAGAAAATGATAACCAGAGGTGTGAAAATCAAATGAAGCTTATTTTAGTAAAAGTAAGTAAAAATTGCTATCTGATTTTCAGTATTGCTATATTTTGCATGGAAGTTAATTTAAATCATTCTTTGTCATAAAAATTCCATATGGATATAACTTCAAATTATTATTCCTATGTTCAGATTATTATTCCCTATTTAATTCTTTTTATGTAGTCTATTCTCTGTAGCAAGTGTTTGTTAACTGGTATGTATTCTTCTAATATTGGAGAATAATTGTGAACTGATGTTTTCTTACTGCTATAAAATCATCTCAAAAGCATTTATGTGAGCTCAGTGTTATAGCTGATAGGGTGTGCCAACTTTTTATGGAAATCTGGTGGTATGGGGGGATATGATACGTGCTCATGTCTGTGTTCAGGAATGCTAGCTTACCGAGTAAATTGCAAAATTCCTTTAGACAGTGTTAATATGTCTTGTCTTTCTTGTGTCTGGCATACTTTCAAGTTCAACTTTAGATTTTAAGTCCCATATATGTAGCCATTGGTAACTGTTATCAATAAAGGAGAGTATTTTTAAAACCTGCAAGGGAATTCTTGACAATACTATCTAAATATTTTTATGCATTGCTGATAAATTATAACATTCTTTACACATTACATAAATCCATGTAGGTCTCTCAAGATTTATAATTGAGAGTTAGAGGATAAACATCCAAACTAAATCTTCCAGATGAGGGAAAAGAGGGAAGACATCTATTTCTTTCTCATTTATATTGAGGTAAATCATGATGAAAGAGATACAGAAGTTTCCCTCAGGAGGTTTCCTGAAACTTACCAAATTTATAGCCTGTACTCTCATTGATTCATATGGCAACAAATCATAAGAGGTACTTGGTGGGAACGTTGAAAGGGTGTTTTCATTTATTGTTCCAGTTGAGGCCATGACTTTGGAGAAATAAAAAGCAATGGGTACCAAGCAGCACTCTATCAAAACAGCAAAAGAAGACAAAAAAGAGGTTTTCTTAACTGGGGGCTTATGTTAATACAGCAGATGCCCTGTAAGGGATAGAGCGCATCTAAGAGAAATGCTGCACTAAATATGAATCTTGCCAAAATAATAAAGAGAACTTTAAACTGAAATTTGAGGGAAGGGAAGAGCATTTCTCAGATAAAATGATAAAATGAAATACTTTGGAGAATATCAAGTATAACCTAATACTAGAGGTAACATGGAAGCTGAGAAAATGTCGGTGATTTAAAAGAGATAAGAAGGAAAAAAACCTACTCATAAATTTTGCTACAAAAAAAATTGAAATCGAAATAAATTATTTTTTAAATAGAAAAACTTTACCTTTAATTTGTTCTTTCTGTTCCTGTAGTACTTTGCAAGAACAAAGGGTCTTGCAAAGGATCTCTCTTTAAAATGTTAAAAAGTGATTGACTTTCTCAGCTATATTTCTGATAAATACTTTTAACACTCATACCTTTCACCTAGGTCTGATAAAATAATGAGGAAGTTCTCAAATTAATGAAAATAGATAGGCAGGAAAAACTTTCTGAGGTATAGATAATCTCTGGACTCTGTCAACAGGGGGTTATATTCTGTGCAAGTAAAATCATACCTACAGAGATATATGAAAGAGTGCCCTGCTTGGAAATCCTTGAGCTCGTAACTTTAATCATGGTGGAGAACACAGCATGAGAGTGCAGGATAAGACACATAAACTGAAAATATTGTATGTACTAAATACAGATGTCTGAAGTGGATGATTGTGACTGCTACTCTCCAAATGCAAGTTTCAGATGTGGCCTAAAGGCAGACAGATATCATGATTGGAAACTACATGTCTATACTCTGGAAGCATCATTCTGTTAAAGCAGAATTTTTTATACATTTTTTTTTACTGATCTTGCTGATAGTCTTACCTCTGAGAGGGTAGATAATGCAACAGGGGAATGTGATGTTATGGACTTCATTGTAACCAATAAGTATGAAACAGAAGTTACAGAAATTATTTTAACAGGATGTGCTAACGCCATTTTAGGGTCCCTAATAATGAAGAATATGCTAGCAACAGTTAGATATATAAAACTGGACATTGTTAAGAAAGAATGTTCTTTAAATTTCTAAGATTATAGAAACAGATATAAACCAAGAGGAAGCTAGATTAAAAAGAAATTGAGAGTCTCAAAATGAAATCATTAACATACTAAAAATAGTAAATATGAAGGGTAGTCAAAAAACAAGTTATTCTGATCATTCTCATGTCTCTTTTTGTTCACAGCTTTTAGAAAGATGTGAACAAAAAGAGGAAACAGGCACAAAACAATTGATAAATACACAAGTTTGACAGAGATATAAATGTTAGAGCTGAGAATAAGTTTAGGCTCATGAAAACTACTAAGGTATAAAAAAGCAAAAAGGTATTTTTAATGGGAAAAAGTGCTCAATGTGTCCACTGGCACACCCTGTGTACCCCAGGGTAGGAAACAAAGTCAAAGTGTTGAATGACATTTTTCATGATATTTTTGTGGGCTAAATGGAGATTTGGGGCTCAGACAAGTATAAATTTGACTGTAATTGGACCTGGATGAAGAACTTTGCCCAGAGCATTGGATGTGAATTGGTGTTAACTTCAAAGGAGGTCGCTACATTTATTTGTGTTATCAGTACGTTAAACACTGACTTGAATGAACAGCTTTGCAAATGAAATAAAGCTGGAAGAATACAGGTCAGATATTGGCTGGTATAGAGTAACAAAATGGTATGTGCGTGTGAGAGAGAGAGAGAGAAACAGAGAGAGAACAGGCATGCACGCACCCATTCCACCATTTCCCTCTTCTTCCTTGCTTAAAAAACAAAATAAAGTACCATTATATTTGGACCCGAGGCTATGTTTTGAGGTCAGATGGGCCCCTCTCTCAGCCCCAAGGGATGGATGAATCATACATAAATGGTCTATAATAAGGTGGTATTACAATCATATTTTATTCAGTGATTGATGTAAAAGTCAGAAGAGACACATTCCTGGCCAAGAAGATGTAAGGTAAAGTGTGCTAGGGGCAGAGGCCTCTGGGAAAGATTTTCATCCCTGATTACAGAGAGGGGATGGGGGGAGGGGAGAGAGAATCAAGAAAGATTTAAGAGATAAGAGCTGTAGTTGCCTCTGGGTGGAGTTGGGGTGGTGGCAATGGCGATGATTAACTAGGAAAGTGTTCAGGGGAGCTCTCTGGGGTGATAAAAATGGTCCATATTTCAATAGGCATATGGATATGGGTATATGCATTTGTCAAAACTCATTCAGCTGTACACTTAAGATTTATATATTTTACTGAACATAAGTTATTTTTAATTTACCGAAGAGAAAAAGATAGTAGGCCTCTGAATCAAAATGTCCACCTCTCCCATCTGGTTTTGGATGTTTTTATGCTTGGAGCTACTGCCACCATCTTTTGTCTTTGATGAATGTATCACTGACACACTGAGGCTGACAACTAAAGGAAGGAAAAGTCTCAGCTCCCCATCGTTGATCTCTGCTGAACCAAACCTGACTACACATACCTCTAGACTTAGAGTTACATGGAGGATATAAATGTTCTCATAGTATAAACTACCTTCAGTAGAGTGTTTTGGTTCTTGCACCAAAAGCACCATATCTGATGTAATTATTCTGATTGGAAAGTACTATACTTAGGTTCATAAAATGATTTGTACCAGTATAGCCAAAAAGATACCAAAGTAATAATAGCTAAATTGAAAACCATCCACAGATTTTAGTCAACTTTTAGCACAGTATGAAATGACAATGTGATATGTTTACCAAACACAGATTTATTGACTGCATATACCAGCAGTATCCAGAACAAAGAATGTCTGTCTCACTGCACTTGGTGTAGGTACAATTATCTTCAGTGTTATGTCTGATTCTGAGGACTACATTCTGACTCTCCTGACAATCACCACTGGTCCTCATTTATTTTGATTAAATATAAATTTGCCTGGTTAACTATTTTACTTCAGTTTCCATACTGCTGATGACTTCTAAATCACCGTTCCAGTCCAAACTACCAGGAGCCATATTTCCCACTACCAATAAAAAGCCATGTTCATTATTCAAATTTCTCACATGAAAAATATCATCTCCAAAGCTTTGTCTATGTTCTGCTCTTGATGCAGAGAGATATGAGATCACTGAGGAGGAGTAGGGAGCAGGAGGAGCCACAGGAGGAGGTTGCCCAAGGCAATGGTAAACAGCCTAGGTGAGGATTGGCTGAAAAGCTGAAGGCCTCCAGAGTGCATGGAATTATGGTCCAGAAGATTTAAAATAGAAGGAAGGCAGAGACTGGCTCTTGGGCTCTCTTCCTGGAGGATGCCTGGATCATTGTGCTGCAGCCGCCTGCAGTTCCCAATGGGTGATATGTTGGATAGGGAGAAACTCCAGGCACAGCCTAGGGTCAGGCTGGCCTGGCAGAGGGTGGCAGGGTATTCTTCTTTGGGTGTTCTAGAGGGGACGGGCTCTGAAGGCAGAAGCCTGCCATTCTTCCAAAATTGTGTAGCTCTTGTATCTTATGTTGTTTTAGTTTGTAAACTAATCATATAGAAATGAGAATTAAAAACTAACAGGGGGAATGATCGAGGAACTTAGGAGTTAAACATTTTAGCCTTAATTGATAGGCTTAAGTGACTAATGCTTATGGAAAGCTGTTATTCCAAAGTTGTGTAGCTTTTGAATAGACTCCTTTATCACCAAACCTTTGTGTCCAGAATTTTGCCTAGAGGGTACACCAAGCAGCAGGGCCCCACTTGTTGTTTGGTAACTCTATCCAGTCCTAGTTTGCCAGCCCCTGGCCTACGAAACTGGAATCTTTACTTTTACCTTTAACTCCTGCCCCTTTAACCATTCCCACTTGGACTCATATTCTGTCTGAGACATGTCTCTGGAAATGGGTGTCTTGTGTCCACTTACTACCACTGCCTTAGATTAGGCCCTTTTCATAGCTACAGAATTTCAAACTGTTCTCCATCTAGGCTTACCCCCTTCCCATCTCCTCTCTATC